GTTGTTTGTTTATAGGAGGAAGGTGTGACAAAGCGAGTTGTTTAAACCTGTTGGCTGTTGCCTTAGAGCCACTAGTCTATCCTGACCAGTTCATATATTTCTTGCCTTATTGGTATTAAAAACTATTTTGTCACCATTAAAGACAAATACAGGTTTGTCATTGTGTCTCGGTATGGTTTTGTAGACATTCTTGTGGCTATGCCTAGGTGATGATAGCTTGTACATGTACTTTCAGTAAGTCTTGCTATTAGGAAAAAAAAAAAAAATGTGGACCAAGCTTTAATTGTGTCACCTTGAATCATTCTTATTCTTTAAGATTTTTTACTACTGGACATGATCTAAAGAAATATGTGAAGTGAGTACGTACATTACTCAAATTAAGGTATTAGTAATAACAAAAAAAGTTCATTGTCAGGAGTGGGATTTGAACCCACGCCCTCTTTAGCGAGGAACAGATGCTTAGTCTGCCGCCTTAGACCACTCGGCCATCCTGACTTAATTAGTATATCTTTTGTCTTATGTGTATAGAATATAATTTGTCTTAGAAACATGCAATTATAAATAATAAAATTGTTTGTCAGGAGTAGGATTTGAACCCACGCCCTCTTTAACAAGGAATAGATGCTAAGTCTACCGCCTTAGACCACTCGGCCATCCTGTCTTAATTAATTTTAACTTTTGTCTTATTTGTATTAAAATATAATTTACCAACATAGATGAGATGGTTTTTTAAAGTTGCATTTGGCTCTGTGATTAGGTTAGAGAAAGTGTATGTATCCGTCCAATGATTGTTTCTGCTCAGTGTTAAGAAAGTAAACAACTTTTGCACCAGTTGCTTGGGGCACAATCATTCTCTTGAAATTGACTTTTAACTTAGAGTCATAGGCGAAATACTTTCCAATACCAGCTCTTATATTCTTGTGCACTTCCACTTTCTCTTCTCTATGCGGCTGGCAGTGTAAATCGTTTCTCCCTAAAGCAGTTCTTGATTGGATGATGCAAAGGGAAATCAGCTCTAGTTTGTTTTTGAACATTACCCTTTTCCCGTGATGTTTTCTTGGTGGTCTGATTTTTTATAGTGAGTGCCTGAAGAAACTGTGTATTGTGTAGTAAAGTAAACAACTTTTGCACCAGTTGCTTGGGGCACAATCATTCTCTTGAAATTGACTTTTAACTTAGAGTCATAGGCGAAATACTTTCCAATACCAGCTCTTATATTCTTGTGCACTTCCACTTTCTCTTCTCTATGCGGCTGGCAGTGTAAATCGTTTCTCCCTAAAGCAGTTCTCGATTGGATGATGCAAAGGGAAATCAGCTCTAGTTTGTTTTTGAACATTACCCTTTTCCCGTGATGTTTTCTTGGTGGTCTGATTTTTTATAGTGAGTGCCTGAGAAACTGTGTATTGTGTAGTAAACATTGCGTTTTTTTCTGTTGAAGAACTCATGTATTTGGTGAATTATTCTTATCTCTTCAAGATTTTTTTTTTTTTTGCCTTTATGGTACTCGAAATTATTTGTTTGTAGACATTCTTGTGGCTGTGCTTAGGTGATAGTAGCTTTCTGTAAGTCTTAGAGAAGAAGAATAACAAAAAAGTTCATTGTCAGGAGTGGGATTTGAACCCACGCCCTCTTTAGCGAGGAACAGATGCTTAGTCTGCCGCCTTAGACCACTCGGCCATCCTGACTTAATTAATATACCTTTTGTCTTATTTGTATTAAAATATAACTTACCGAACATTAAGTTTTCTAAACATGCATGTGATTGTGATTGATCTAAAAAATAATTAACAATAAAAAACTTTGTTAGGAGTGGGATTTGAACCCACGCCCTCTTTAGTGAAGAACAGATGCTTAGTCTGCCGCCTTAGACCACTCGGCCATCCTAACTTATTTATTAATTTTTTTTGTCTTGTTTGTATTTATCTAATTTACTAACATAAATGAGATGGTTTTCTAAAGATGCATGTGGCTCTGTGATCAAGTCATAGATGTATGCATCATTCCAATGACTGTTTCTGCTCTTGGTGGAAGAAAAACTAAACAATGTTTGCAGCAGTTGCTTGGCTCCCAATCATTCTCTTGAAATTTACTATAACCGAGAACCATTAGCGAAATATTTCCCAACTCTTAATACCAACTCTTATATTCTCACAAACATCTCTGTGAATGTTCTCTTTCTACTTCCTCTTCTCTATCTGGTTTTATAGACATTCTTGTGGTTGTGCTTAGGTGATAACAACTCTTTGCATGTACTTTCAATAAATCTTGCTCTTAGTGTTTCCTTGTAAAAAGAAGTGTATGGCCCAAGCTCTAAGCGTCTCCTTAGATCATTCTTATGTTTTACAATTCTTTACTTGTGAGTACCTATATTACTCAAATTAAGGTAAAAAAATTCTTTGTCAGAAGTGGGATTTGAACCCACGGCCTCTTTAGCGAGGAACAGATGCTTAGTCTGTCGCCTTGGACCGCTCGGCCATCCTGACTTGATTAATATGCTTTTTGTCTTATTTGTATTAAAATATAATTTATCTTAGAAACATGCAATTGAAAATAAAAAAGTTTTTTGTCAGGAGTTGGATTTGAACCCACACCCCCTTTATCGAGGAATAGATGCCGAGTCTAGACACGCTATTCCAATTTTATTATCACGGCCCCTATCACTCGGCCATCCTGACTTAATTAATATGATTTTTGTCTTATTTGTATTAAAATATAATTTACCAACATAAATGAGATGATTTTCTAAAGATGCGTTTGGCTTTATGATTATGTCACAGAAAGTGTATGAATCCATCCAGTGATTGTTTTTGCTCAGTGTTAAGACAGTACACAACTTTTGCAGCAGTTGCTTGGCGCACAATCATTCTCTTGAAATTTACTATAACCGAGAACCATAGGCGAAGTACTTCCTAATTCCAACTCTTATGACCTTAGCTGTGAATGTGCTCTTCTACTTTCTCTTCTCTATGTGACTTGTGTAAATCGTTTTCCACTAAAAGCAACTCTCGATTGGATGAAGGAAAGAGAATTCAACTGTCCAGTTTGTTTCTTCGACATCCTTTTGTATTCATTCTCTTGAAATTTACTATAACCGAGAACCATTAGCGAAATATTTCCCAATACCAACTCTTATAATCTCAGTTTTCAATTTTATGAACAAACATCTCTGTGAATGTTCTCTTTCTACTTCCTCTTCTCTATCTGACTTGTAGTGTAAAATCGTTTTCCACTAAAGCAACTCTTGGTTGGATGAAGGAAAATGGAAATTAACTGTCCTGTTTGTTTCTTTGACATCTTTTTGTAATGCCTTTGTTCTATTTGAACATATCCTTGTCCCCTGATGTTTTCTCTGGGTCTAATTTTTTATAGTAAGTGCCTGAAGAAACTGTGTAGAGTATTGCGTACTAAAGATTCAGTTTTCTCATACCGACTAATATCGGTGAATTACACTCATCTCTTCATATTTTTTGTTTCCGATTTGGTTTACGAGCTTTGCCCTGACATCTCTTCATTGATTCTTCTTATTTATAATGGTCATTGTGTCTCCTGCGTTTGGTTTTCTTCTTTAGTTGTTTGTTCATAGGAGGAAGATGTGACAAAGTGAGATGTTTTCATCTTACTTTCCAGTAGTTAGAATTGGGATATGAACCCACGGCCCCTGTGAAGGGGTTAAACCTGTTGCCTTAGAGCCACTAGTCTATCCTGACCAGTTCATATATTTCTTGCCTTATTGGTATTAAGAACTATTGTCATCATTAAAGACAAATACAGGTTTGTCATTGTGTCTCGGTATGGTTTTGTAGACATTCTTGTGGCTATGCCTAGGTGATGATAGCTCTGTACATGTACTTTCAGTAAGTCTTGCTATTAGAAAAAAAAAAATAAATTGTGGACCAAGCTCTAATCATTCTTATTCTTTATGATCTTTTACTACTGGACATGATCTAAAGAAATATGTGAATTGAGTGGGTACATTCCTCAAATTAAGGTAAATGCATTAAATATTAAGGAAAAAAGTACATTGTCAGGAGTGGGATTTGAACCCACGCCCTCTTTTGCGAGGAACAGATGCTTAGTCTGTCGCCTTAGACCGCTCGGCCATCCTGACTTGGTTAATATACTTTTTGTCTTATTTGTATTAAAACATGATTTATCTTAGAAACATGCAATTAAAAATAATAAAATTGTTTGTCAGGAGTGGGATTTGAACCCACGCCCCCTTTAACGAGGAATAGATGCTAAGTCTACCGCCTTAGACCACTCGGCCATCCTGACTTAATTAATTTTCAGTTTGTCTTATTTGTATTAAAAGATAATTTACCAACTTAAATGAGATGGTTTTTTAAAGATGCATTTAGCTCTGTGATTAGGTTACAGAAAGTGTATGCATCCAATGATTGTTTCTGCTCAGTGAAAGTAAAAATCTATTGCACCAGTTGCTTGGGGCACAATCATTCTCTCGAAATTTACTTTAACTTCGAACCATAAGCGAAATTCTTTCAAATACCAACTCTTATATTCTCAGCTGTGAATGTGCGAAATACTTTCCAATACCAACTCTTATATTCTCAGCTGTGAATGTGCACTTCCACTTTCTCTTCTCTATGCGACTTGTAGTGTAAATCTCGATTAGATGATGCAAAGGGAAATCAGCTCCAGTTTGTTTGTTGGACATCTTTTTGTAATATCTTTGCTACTTTTGAACATTACCCTTTTCCCGTGATGTTTTCTTGGTAAACATTCAGTTTTTTCATGCTCTGCGTTTTTACTCATGTATTTGGTGAATTACTCTTATCTCTTCATTAATTTTATTGTTTTTAATTGCCTTAGACCATATATTTTTTTTGCCTTATTGGTACTTGAAATTATTTTGTCATCATTAAAGACAAATGCAGGTTTGTAGACATTCTTGTGGCTGTGCTTAGGTGATAGTCGCTCTGTATATGTACTTTCAATAAGTCATAGAAAAAAAGAATAACAAAAATAATCATTGTCAGGAGTGGAGGAGTGGGATTTGAACCCACGCCCCCTTTAACGAGAGGAATAGATGCTAAGTCTACCGCCTTAGACCACTCGGCCATCCTGACTTAATTTATTTTAACTTTTGTCTTATTTGTGTTAAAATATAATTTACCAACATAAATGAGATGGTTTTTTAAAGATGCATTTGGCTCTGTGATTATGTCACGGAAAGTGTATGAATGATTGTTTTTGCTCAGTGTTAAGACAGTAAACAACTTTTGCTGCAGTTGCTTGGCGCACAATCATTCTCTAGAAATTTCCTATAACGGAGAACCATAGGCGAAGTACTTGCCAATTCCAACTCTTATGATCTTAGCTGTGAATGTGCTCTTCAACTTTCTCTTCTCTATGACTTGTGTAAATCGTTTTCTACTAAAAGCAACTCTCCATTGGTTGAAGGGAAGAGAAATCAACTTTTAGTTTGTTTCTCGGACATCCTTTTGTAATCTCTTTGTTCCTTTTACATTACCCTTTTCCCCTGATGTTTTCTCTGGTGGTTTGATGTTTTACAGTAAGTGCTTGAAGAAACTGTGTATTGTGTACTAAACATTCAGTTTTCTCATGCTTTATGCGTTTTTTTTTCAGTTGAAGAAGTCTGACGTATTTGCTGATTAATATCTGCGAATTGCTCCTATCTCTTCATCGTTTCTTCTTTCTGAACAGTTGTGTTTATATTCTTGCAACAGGCGGATAATTATGAGAAAATATTCTCCCTCATGAAGTCAAACAGTATTCTTGGGCTTTCCCATGGATTTCTCCTGGGGTATTTGCAAGCTATGGGACGTGACTTCCCAAAGCACTTCAGTGTTATTGCTGTTTGTCCCAAGGGTATGGGTCCTTCTGTAAGAAAACTTTATGTTCAAGGGAAAGAGATCAATGGTGCTGGAATCAATTCCAGCTTTGCAGTTCACCAGGTATTTCTTGCTCTTTACACACTTGCAACCCAGACTAGAGCACAGGCAGAAGGCCGGGGTGATCCAATTACACTGATTCATTGTTCTTTACTGTTTCCCACTTTTGCAGGATGTTGATGGTAGAGCAACAGATGTTGCCTTGGGTTGGTCTGTTGCCCTTGGTTCCCCTTTCACATTTGCCACAACTCTAGAGATGGAGTACAGGAGTGATATCTTCGGGGAGAGGGGTGAGTTTGGTTCACCAACCTCTTTGTTATGCTCTACTCTTTTTTCTTTTTGCTAACTTATGGTTGTATTTTGTCCATAGGCATTTTACTTGGCGGTATTCATGGAATTGTTGAGTCCTTGTTTAGACGGTACACAGAAAATGGAATGAGTGAAGATGATGCATATAAGAACACAGTGGAGGGAATTTGCGGAATTATGTCAAAGACCATCTCATCTCAGGTTTTTTATTCATCAAATTCTGGAATTCATACTCTTGTACTGACGTCCTTTATTATCGTGCGCCTTTAAGTTGATGTTTGTTCAATTAGTTAGTGACGCGCCAGTTTTGTCTCACTGTGTTCACATATCTGTCTTCTAACAGGGATTGTTGGGTGTATATAACTCCTTGTCTGAAGAAGGCAAGAGGGAATTTGAGATTGCATACAGTGCCTCATACTACCCTTTTATGGACATCTTGTATGAGTGCTATGAAGATGTAGCTTGTGGCAGTGAGATCCGCAGTGTTGTACAAGCTGTGCACCGGTTTTATGTACGCTCACTTCCTCATCTATTGCTTTACCATGCTTCCATCCCCTCCCATGTACATCAAAGTTAGCCTTCCCTCTCGATATTGATCCTTACAGTTTATTTGCTCATGTTACAGGAAAAAGACGGTCTTCCAGCTTTTCCAATGGGGAAAATTGATCAGACCCGCATGTGGAAGGTAGGCGAGCGAGTCCGAGCTGTCCGGCAACCTGATGACTTCGGTCCAATGTATCCTTTCACTGCCGGTGTATACATAGCATTGATGATGGCTCAGGTAACATTGACACCTATCCTCATTTCCCAAGTTACAATAGCTCATTGTTGTCTTCAAAGCCTTTAAAGGGCCGAGAGGGGATGAGATCTCGAGTTCGATTTTAACAACTTCTTCCTCCTACTTCCCAGATCGAAATCCTTCGCAAGAAAGGCCACTCCTACACCGAGATAGTCAATGAGAGCGTGATCGAATCCGTGGATTCCCTGAACCCATTCATGCGTGCTCGCGGACTCTCCTTCATGGTAGACAATGCCTCGACCACAGCAAGATTAGGATCAAGAAAATGGGCGCCACGCTTCGACTACATCCTCACCCAGCAAGCATACGTAGCAGTAGACAACGGCACTCCCCTCAACCAAGACCTGATCAGCAGCTTCCTCTCCGACCCCGTCCACGGAGCCCTCCAAGTCTGCTCCGAACTGAGACCTCCAGTCGACATTTCCATCACCGCAGATGCCGATTTTGTCCGTCCCGAGCTCCGCCAATCCGGCAGCAACTAAGACTCTAAACACCGTGCTTGGCATTGCCTAAATGCCTACCACTCTATAAGCAAAGCCAGTTCCCTCCTGTAATATTTTTATAAATAACGTCCCTTTGAGGGTTCATGTTGTATTATTATTCTTATACAAAGAGTACTTGAAGCATTAATATTAATAAATCATATTTTGGTACGACGTCGCTTTGATGGGGAATCTAATGTATGACACGTCAGATTTATCCCAACAGGAAAAAAACAAAGAAATCTCTCGCGCGTTTCTGTTTCGTTACGTACGAGTTCTGGATAACTAACAAGTAACAAGCTGTTGGTTTTGTGGCTTCTCGTTCACTTGAAAGACAAAAATGGCGGCGGTTACATCTTTCTCTGCTACTCTCTCCTCCACTAAATTACCAACCAAAACCCTAAAGCCGCCGCCGACTTCCGCCAACTACTTCTTCCACTTGCGGCCTCTATCGGTCTCCGTCCCGTTGTCGTTTAAGCCTGTGAAATGCCTCGGCGCGCAGATGGTGTCGGCTCCGGCGACGCAGAAGAGACCGCTGGTGAGCCTCGATTTCGAGACCTCGGTGTTCAAGAAGGAAAAGATCAGCCTCGCTGGCCACGATGAGGTGTTCATTTCTTATTTTTTTCTCAAGTTCCATTCTTTACTCTTTTAGTGAATAAATAAATGTGTCAATCCAATGCTAATTGTTGTTTTGTGTTGATTTTGATTGTGTTGGTAGTACATTGTGAGAGGAGGGAGGGATTTGTTCCACTTGCTGCCCGAGGCCTTTAAAGGGATTAAGCAGATTGGTGTCATTGGTTGGGGTTCCCAGGTAATGCTCAGTCTTCAACATATAGGACCTTGTTATTAGTGTGGAGGAGTGATTGTAATAAGTGGCTAAAGCTTGCTTATTTTTTGTTTAGGGTCCTGCTCAAGCTCAGAATTTGAGGGATTCTCTTGTTGAAGCCAAGTCTGATATCGTAGTCAAGGTGGTTTATGCTTTTTGTTTAACTAGAGTTTTGTTTTTCTTCACTTTAAGGGATTTGTCTATTTGGTTTGTTAGATGATCAATCTACTGACTGGTATGTGTATTCTTGGTTTGTGTGGGTAATTATGTCATGTAGATTGGACTGAGAAAGGGTTCTCGTTCCTTCAATGAAGCTCGTGCTGCTGGTTTTACTGAGGAGAATGGGACTCTGGGTGATATATGGGAAACTATTTCTGGGAGTGATCTTGTGCTGTTATTGATTTCTGATGCTGCGCAGGTGCGTTTAAATGAATATTAAAACCCCATGACATTCTTCTTGTTCCTTTTTTCTGCATTCCTTGTATTGTTATTTTCTTGAATTTGTGCAGCTAAGACGGAATGTACTATTTCATCTTTTTGATATCCTTCTGCATGGTTTCCTGATTTTCATTACTTTTAAGGCTTTTTATCCCTACAATTGAAATAGTAAAGAGGATGGTTAAACCTGTATTTATTTCCATTGCATTTCTCCACCAGATTTTACACCACTAGCTTTCCGCCTGATAGTTCTTTTCCTTGTGAAACTTGAATAGGGGATTGACTCTCTTTGATGTTGCAAATATCACGAAATGTTCTCATCAGTTGCATTTTCTTACTCTGTATCTTCAAATGTGTGTTTGTGTTCACAATAACTTGGGTTCTGCTATTCTATAACCAAGGAGTTAAAGGTGCTTCAACAATGCTACAAATGTCACCTCTTAACTTCTTTTCAATTTCATCCATCAACTTTATTGAATCAGTTTTGTCCTTCTTATTAATATTTAGTTTTGTCCAAATGTTCTGACATCATCATCATTAGCCTTCTGACATCTTCTGATATACAAAAAGAAAAAAAGAAGAGAGATCTTTTGGCTACAAAAGTGACGTGAGCTTAGTTTTTCTACTGTCAGTCACTTGAAGTCTAGCAGGCTAGGAAAGTTGAGCAGGACAGAAGGATGAGAACAATTAAAACTTAGATGGTGAACTCTGTTCAAAATAATGCCAAGCACAAAAAAGAACCTGAAATAGAAGGGTTCTGATTTAAAATTTTCAGAATTTCGGTGATGTTAATGCTAAACAGAGTGCATGTCTCTTTGATGGCTCAATTTTGATGCATAAAATTTGAAGTCAATACATCTCTTTTGCATTTTTCTTTCTCAGTCATGCTCGCCATTTGTACTGCCTTGTAGCATGTCTAACTGTATTTCTTGCAAACAGGCTGATAACTATGAGAAAATTTTCTCCCACTTGAAGCCAAATAGCATACTTGGGCTTTCCCACGGGTTTCTTCTTGGGCATTTGCAGTCAATGGGACTTGACTTTCCAAAGAATATAAGTGTAATAGCAGTTTGTCCCAAAGGAATGGGCCCGTCTGTGAGGAGACTCTATGTACAAGGCAGAGAGATAAATGGTGCCGGAATTAATTCCAGTTTTGGAGTTCACCAGGTCAGTCTTCAGAGTATTCTACTCCCCTTCAGAATCACATGCATTCTCACCAAAGTAACAAAAGGTTGTGCTACATTAGCCTATTTCATTTCATGATGGGGTGTTAAATTGTATATGCTTGCAGGATATTGATGGAAGAGCCACAGATGTTGCCTTGGGATGGTCGGTTGCTCTGGGTTCCCCTTTTACATTT